TTAAATTAATAATCCAGGGTCCCAAGTCTCTGAAAATTGTAGTAGACTCCTGGATATCGACACCCCAATTCTTCCACTCCCTCAAGAAAGCAAAATTCTCCCAGAAACTGATCTGCAAATTCATTGTTTTTTCTGGATGTTTTACTATTGCATTATCAGTTGTTTCCCTGAAGTTAGCAGGCCATGGTACTCTAAGTATCACCGCATGCAGCAAATGCAATTAGATTCTTGAATAACAAAGCTAATTCAACCAAGTCTCCCGTAAATTCCTATCCAAACTTAGACCCTAGAATATCACAATTTCACCGTACAAGCATCAGTGGGGGGATTAAGATGATACTTCAACTAAATTAAAATTGTAATTATAGAATATGATTTGTATAATTTTTTTTTGTCTTTAATATATTAATTTTGTTATTAAGGTACAAGCAGATTGGTTTTTCTTTTATTCAGAAGTGTTATAAATTGTTAACGATAAGAAAGTAGATCAACAAAATTATTCATAATCTGGTTGGATGTGACCCAAATGCAGTGACTTCAATCGAGATATTAAAGATTGTAATTAAAGCTTTAATTTTGTTCATATCTCTTTGACATTTGATCAGGCAGTAAACGTTGCTAGTTGTCGTTGCTGTAGAAACATCACAAAAACAATATACATGAAACTAAATTGAATAATTTGAATTGACAATGAATATTTATATTTTACTTTTAATAACATTCATAGTTGTGTACTATTATGTATGTTTTTATTCAAAAATAAATACATAAATGAATAAATAATATGACCTATTGGAATAAAGTTCATATGTAGACAAACTATAGAGGGCTCCTGTCAACTTTGCCTATTGGTTTTCATAATAATTTTCCATTACTTGAAATAACTGACAGTAGCTTACAGGATGTCACAAACAAAACATGGCCTTCCTCCTTGAAAAAAAAATGCTGCTAGTTAATCAATACTAATGTGCCCCTTTAAGCAGTCCTATTCATTTGTTGAAGGAGAAAATTGAAATGGTTTGCTCATAAAATGATCCACAAAATTTAGTTTTCACTGATTTACAGACCTTTAAATTGATTTCCAGCCAATATAATGGTCTGAAAAGAGTTTTTAATTTATGCGTCAATTGAAAGCTTATAGTAACTTAAGTAAATACAGTAAGTAAATCAATTTGAATTTTATTGTTCGTGTTTATTAACTCAACACACAAACGGTAAACCCAATTGATTGTGAAGGCAATAGCCTCTTAGTTTGATTCTGTAAAATAAATATGAGCTCAGATTTAGAACAGATTTTCATTTGTATATGATACGATAAATAGGCAGCTGAGAATCTTCAGGTGTGAAGCAGCATATATCTTAAAACTTGAGCAAATAATACAGCATATAATTCAAACTATTGCAGGCCTACAAAAAAAAAATAAACCTGTTCTTGTCTACACAAAAAACATGACAATATTAAGAAGTAAATGTTTTGTGGTTATTATATTTTTTAGGGTAGTTATAGTAGTGAGGAATTGAACTTTGAGGCAGGATAGAGTTCAAGACCTGCCAGTGCCACACATGCTTGGTCCTTGATAAGTCACTGCTGTGATTACCTCTTCCTTTGAATATGTAAGCTATTGGGTTTTCGATAGTAGTATGATGAATGATTTCGTAGATGAAATCTATGTTTTAATAAAAAAAATTAAAAAAAGCCTTTTTCTAACTTGACATACTGTATTTTTGTTTTATGTACATAATACCAGATTTCATTCGGTATTCTTGTTGTATGTACAATTTTCTATAGAATCCAAGGTTATTGGGAATTATCAACAAAATCGATGGATTTCAGTTATCCATCATAAGCCAAGTTGTTTGTCCAATACTCTCCAGAATAGATTAGATTTTTTAAATTAAGATGAAAGCTTATTTTACGTCAAAAGTGGACACGGACTTGTGGCATAATTAAAAAAGTAGCATGGCATACAAAATATTTCCATAGTGTGGAGAAAGCTGTAAAAACTTTGGTTTACATTTTAAGACCAATGACTCAAATTTAAAAATAAACAACTTGCTTGTAGTTTAAATTTGGTTGTTGACTTCCTAAAATGAATAGCCAAAAAATTAAGTGTTTAAACTGTAGATATATGGACATTTACTTATTTATAATTTAATTTATTACTAGAGGGTAAGCTAGCGAAATATGTTGAACGTTGCATTTAGTTTTTGATAAAAGAGAACAACCACTAAAAGCAGATAGGTTATATGATATCTAAGTATGCCATCCTGTCCTTAAGACCCCTTGTTAATTGTGATGACGAATGATGTCAGACCGGTAGGTTTCAAATCCCAGACGTTTATTGAGACCCTCGGTTTTCTATTGTGATTTTAGGCTTTGAAGTAAGCGTAATTAAATAATAAATAACTGATTAAGAGATGCTCTCTATGGACAGTAATACAATAAAAAGAAAATCCAAGTGTTTTTTTTCCATTGACTCAAACAATATACTATCATAAAATTTTGGTATCAAAAATGTTTAGACCATGAACTATTACAGTGTTATATCACTACAGTAGGTTGTGATATCTCGCAACTACCATACGTACACCTCATTTGCAAAATGAAAAATTCTCATTTCTCATTATTTATGAGTGACTCGTGGAGTTTAAATTTAATGTATATTGAGTAATTAAGGTCACACTTATTATCTGCTGCAGGCTTAATTTTATGAGAATCATGTCAACTGCTTAGCAGTTGATCATGCCCACGATCTGATCCTCAAAAAATTACGTAAAATAATTCAATTTGCAGAGTGACAGGTCATTTAACATGACAGGGAGGCTTTTTAGTATTAAATACTGAATTACCTTGATTAGAATTGTTGTTGTTCATTTCATTCATTTATTCATTCAACTTCTCAACACTTTGACACAATTCTTGCACTGGTGTAGGCCTACCTGTCAGACAAAAGATTAATTATGTGTACTGAGTTCTCAGTCACCATCAGTTTTCGGATGATTCTTCATCCAGATTTGTTTTCTATACAAAAATCTGCTAATATTATAATACTACTAATGATATAATATTGATACATATTGATGCATATACTCTTAATTAAAAGAATATATGAATTAATTATGTTTAATATAAAGTTCAGTGGCAGCAATGTATGCACTGTGTATATTTTATTTTTAAGTTCATGCGCAAGCTGCATTTCTCAAAGATATCTCGGCTGTTGCTGAAGTTAATTTGTATTTGTCCGATTTTCTCAAATCCCTCTGATACGGGTTAAGAAGATATTATATATAATTTGATAAAAGTACAGTAGTTCAAAGCAAAATCTTTTGAGAAGAAAACATTAATGCAAAATTGGAAACACTAAAACAAGACCTCAATTGCAATTTTGAAAAAGGAATGTGCTGAACTTCTTTGTATTGAAGCTTGTGGGAAAGGAAACAAAAATTAATGTCAATGTTTATATTTATACTTGAGTATTTCTTCCTTGAGCATGACAGGAGGTTTAGAGAGGCCATGAATTCGCAAGTCACATTTTAATTGCACAAGACTTGGTACGACTAATAGGAATAATAAAAAAAATATTACACTGTAGCAGCGCAGCAGCAAAGAAGCTGTTGTATATGCTGAGTTGTGCTCTATATATAGCTTTTTAATTTTAAAAACATATGTCATTACCACTTGATCATTCCATCTTCTGTTGTTTACTTAAGGTTTTTTTTTTTACTTTATTTGTATATGGCATCTAATGCGTTTGCTTCAAACAATAGAACTTAATGAGTAATTTTCTTTAGTTCCTTTTCTATTCTGCATCTACAGTACATAACAAAAGAAAATATGTAAAAAGTATTTGATTAACCTGTGACTGTTTGATTTATAATGTTTATATAAATAGTCCAAAATTATTATATATAGGTAAAGGTAGGAGAAAAACCCATAACTCACAGCTTTTTATTGTGCTGAATTGCATATGGGCGTGGTCTGTGACTAGTGAGCGTGATCTGTGACTAGCGGGCGTGGTCTGTGACTAGCAGCCGTGAAGAGGCGCTTATGGAGCTACATGTTCACATCATTCCACAGCATCCACAGCACAGATAACCCACAGCATCGAGGTGACCCCTTACTCTTCAAAAAGATCAAGCCAGATGTGTACACTAGACCTCCATTAGCCAAGAAGACAGGGGTCTACAAACTGAACATTGGGCGAAGAGCGGCTGCAGTTTGCCGCGCCCACACACAATTTTTATCATTTTAAATTGACTCTACCAGTTGTTTTTTTTTTTTTCTGGAGATCCAGACGACCTAGTTTGGTTCTTGACCCGTAGCGTGACTTAAATTGTGGGAGGTTCGTTTCAGTGGAAAGTGGACCCTTTGGCTTGTATGATCTCCGATACTCTGGAGAACATTGTAAATAAAATATATCTACGAATATCAATATTTCATTTTTAAATGCGGACCTTCTCCAGTTTTTGGGCGGTTCGTCGTAACCCATTAATCCGCCACGCTACGGGCCTGCGACCCTCTGTAACAGTGGTAAGCATGTTAGTCTAAACTATACAAACAATGAAAATGACAGGTAGCACTTTTACGATAATTATTTCATTAAGCACAAGTTTTCAGGTGACTTAGATTTTGAAATATGTATTATGTTTTTCTTTACAAAAATTAGGCTAAACTGTTTTTAAACGTGTAAAATTATCACAAGATCGATAAAGACTAAATATCCTGATGACACAAAACAAACAACCCTTCCATTAATTGAGAAAACCAATTGCTTATTTGGTAAAATGATACAGAGTGATCAATTAACTTAGCAGGGTAGATTAAAAAAGAACACTAAACCAGAGATTTTCCAAACAGATCTCTATGATTTTAAAGCAACTACAAAATACTGGTAATTCTCGTACTTGACCGTCTACTCAATATATAACATTATTATTTTTTGCTTGACAAGCCAAAATAAATAAGCTTAGGTTACAACCCCTATTTTTAAATGGTATAGGCAAAACTTTCCTAGAGCTACTAATGGCCTTCCAGAGAAATGTAGTAGCGGGTCACTACACAGGTTGAAGCCAATCTTAAAACAGGGTCGAAGCCTGCAGTCTGTAATTAAAGGTAAGCTTACTCCACCTGAGCACCATTTATGCTTAGAGCTTTCAACTTTTAGCTTTTTCCTCTGTTGATGACACATACGGTAAAACCAAAATGGGCTTTTCCTGCCCGTGCCAAGTTGATGTAGCATACAGTTTCTTATGATATTTGAAGATTATCTTTACTTTGCCTTTAATCTGTAATATTTGTTTACATAATTTTAGGCTTAGTATTAATCCCTAAACTCTATCTTCCCTTTCGAGTAGTTTTTTTTTTTATACACAACTTCAGAAGAAAAAAAACTGAATGATATTAAGCCAAAATCCTACCTGTTTTTTTTTTAATAAACATGATATTAGTTGTCTTTGTTGTATGATATTACTGTACATACAGTAATAATAATATAGCATACTTGTATACTGTATCATGCTTTTGTCCCACCTAAAGTTTTATTCTCATTAAAATTACTTTCTCAATAGCAAATCATTATCAAATTATTAGGTACTAGATGTTGCATTAAAATAAAAATTAGATTTATATTGAAATTGTTATGACAGCATGAATTATAATGCAGAACAAATTTGATAATAGCCAATAATGACTGAATCTAATAAGAATAGCGAGTCATTTTATATTTCACATGTGAATATTACATTAACTGATGTCAACCTATAGCTTTTTTAATTCATTTTCCTGTCGCTATTCTAATTAATATATCCTACTCTAAGCTCTTGATGATCCTTCAGATACTCTTTTATTGTTTAATTTCCTCAAAAGAAAGATTTCATTGGAGAAATGTATGATATAGTGGACCAAGAAAAAAGTGAGTTTACAGTCATTATAAAGAATACCTCATCATCTATTTAATATTTTAAGAAATGATGAAATGCATCATTTGAATGTAAAGATCATACAAAAGTGTCCTACTTCTACCGCATAAGAAATGTTTAATATTACCATATTTCCTCGAGATAAGCCCACCTCCTACTTAATGCCCAATTTTATGCACCAGCCTTTCATTGGGCAAAGCACAGGGTATGTTTTGAATGAGTTTGCTTAGGAAATACTCTCAGGGGAAAAAAATGGTTTAAGATTGGATAAGACAGGGTATTTTCCCTGGTATAAGCCCATCCCCAAAATTGGCCAAAGTTTTGTGTTATGTGGTGGGGAAATTAGTAATAATAACAACGAGCACTACTGCAACAGTAGTCCATCATCGGCTACTATTATTAATTAAAATGTATAAACTGTGGTCTCATAAATTTACGCTACATTAGCTGAGTATATACACAGATACTACGCTACGCTATGTTGAATGCTGCAATATTATTCCAGGTTATAAGTAGTGCTACCCTAGATGTTAGTGCAATTCATTACTTTTCTTGAAGGTGAAATAGTTCTCAATTCCACCATTGATGTATACCAGGAGCCCAGAACCTATGCATTTAGCATGGTGATTGATTCAAAAGTAGTTACTACAACCTAATCAAATATTTTCTTTAACATTGCTGAAGATAATTATTTTGAAGTTATGTTGCTGAAAGTAAACAGTCATAGCATTCAGTAATCCTAGTCAATAATATCTTTCAATCAACCTATTTGAACAACATTTCAATCATATGATAACTCATGTGATTTGAGAAAAATTGAAAACTGGGACAAACATACATTATCCAAGAAAACTGAGATACATAAATTATATATTATACTGTAGTATAATACTTTAGTTGCCAATTTTCCATTTGCCAAGAAATGTAAGTTAGATGTATAAAAATTAATGTATTGAAAAAAAGGAAATTGAATATAACGTTTGTGTCTCAGATTTCCTGTTTAATGTTTTTATATCAGTTTTCTTATGTACCGGTAATGTCTGTCTCAGTTTTCTTGTTATTAAGCCAATCAAAAATGAATTTTTTTGTTCAAAACTTTTGAAAGAATTGAGGTGGGTTTTTTTCTTATTCTGCAGTAGTGTTCAAAAAGTAAACTTGGAGTAGAGGTACTGTACACTTTAATTGTTGAAGGAAATATCAGAAAGATACAGTAAAAGCACCCAAGAGTATAATAAAAGTAATTGGAAGCTATATATATGTAGAAAAAATTGACATTGCAAAAAATATGAAAATACTTATTTATTAGAATAATAGTGTGTCAGCCAAAGTATTAACGATAAATTAACTATCAATCTTGGTGAAACTCAAATTTTCTAAAAATCTGTGGAATGCCAATTCCAAAAAATGCTAAGAACCCTATGTGTTTTAAATAACACAAGATACTATTTCAGATCATCAAAAATATATATATATATAAATTTTTAAGAAAATATATTCTAGGATATAAAATACTATCTTATATAATGTCATTTTGGTATCATCTTTCAGTATTTGGAAAGGAAGCTCCCTGGTGAATTTGAATCATTTAAGATCTGTTTGACATTTTGTGAAGTAGTTTATGTATTTTTTAAGGTACTTAAAAGCATATTATGTTTTCTGAGATATTGGCATATTAAACCAGGGGTAATTTGAGGAGTGAACAAGGTTTTATATGTTGGAATAGTTTCATCTGGTTTGAATATAATATAGTAAATCGAAATTCGTTTTTATTAAACCACAATGATATACGTACTAGCAACGTTTCATAGTTTTACAAGAGTTAAGGGATAGATCACATTTTTGCATTCCCTTTAAAATTTGGGGTAAATTTTTACCTCATGTTTATTAGAAATTTAGATAGGTTATTTTTCATTCATCCACTGAATTAAAAAATTATCAGAAACAGCCTACCTGCAGTACCACTACAAAACCCTAATTTTTGTATTTTTCATTCAAAATGCTTCAGCTAGATATGAGCCTATATCAAAACTTTACAAGTGGTGAAGCTTGGAGTATTATTTTAATTCTCAACCAACAAAATGTGCCATTACAGTATTTTTTATTTATTAGATTATTATTTTATAATAATCACGGTGTTTTTTTTTCCCCTGGTGATTAGATAGAGAATCAATCATACACAACCGTGCAACCTCTTCAGCTCTCCCCCCCCCTTCCCCCATGGAGTATTTATTCCTAGCTATGTGTGTAATCAGCTTGAATCATTCACCTCCAAACATGATCGAGTGAAGAGAGACAAATGCAGATAAAATGTCTTGCCCAAGGACACAAGCAGTGTGATGAGCATCAGTCTCAAATCTGTCTCTTATACACATCTAGATGTGTATAAGAGACAGACAGGTGTTTTTTAAAATGACTGTGAACTGTTCCCAAAAAATGTTACGAGAATGTGTAAACATTAAATTTAGTACAGCATAGATAAAAAATGAGCAATTTCTCCGTAAGGATAATGAATTGTCATCCGGTTGCATTACTTATAATCTAGATATATTGCATCTTGCATTAATTGTGAAGTTGATTAGTAAGGCTATAGTCCAAAGAAATTTGTAGTTATTCAAAACACATAAAATAGCATGACCGCTTTGCTATCCATTAATCTTTCTATTTAAAGCATTTTTAATATGCCACACTAATCTTGAAAATATATACTTGCGAGTAAGTCAATAATGATACTGTAACTGATTACGCTTGACCTCATTTTAAAGCAAATTCTCTGTTTTTTTTGGGGTTATGTTCCTGTTCTTCTACTTCCTCCAAATTTCATATATGGCAATATAAATGGATTAATGCACCAATTTGGTTAATATTATTAACACTAATGGTCAATATTTTTTATAGAATTTAGTTTCTATGTACTTACTAACCCTATGAATTTATTTACCTTATTTTGCTAATTTATATTCCTTGATAACTTGTAGAGGTTCCGCTTTTATATTTTCATGGAAAATATTTGATTTGTGGAAGTTTGAGAATAAAAAAACACAACATGCAAAATTCAATTGAGCCAATGTATACACCAACAAGGTAAGATTATTTTCAATCTTTAAGAATTAACATTTACAGTATTTATATTATTTATTAATATTTATGCAATATGATTTATTATTAAATAAATTAGAAATTTTATATTAAATTATTTGTGCTCAGTTTTTAAATTATTTTAATTTTGTATCTCATTGGATGTTAGTAACTTACTTTCTTTTAAGTCAATCAAAACATAATTTTTACCTTTAATGTAGTTTTTTTATTCCTGAGCTAGAAATACTTTTCACTCTTCCTTCGTGCTACAGTGAGGGTTGTTATGGAATTATTACCTGGGAGACCATAAGGTCTAGGCTAGATGATGTCAAATAGATTGATTTATTGAAAAGTTATATTGCAAAATTTGATACACTTAAGGAACAGTGCCTTCAAAACTGCCTTCCAGTCCTACAAGCCTTCAGGCAACATTGCTTTTTCCAACAATGCCCTTAAAACTTAATTTACCCTTGTTCCGACAGTGTAAGTACTCACGTTTATGTTGTAGTTATCGAACAAGCGAATGTTATCAGATTGATCCCGACCATTTGAACGGGATCACCTGCATGAAAACAAGCGTTTCAACTCGCAAGCTAGGTTCAACAAATGACCGGATTGGCAAGGTTCTCTTCCAAAGGAATGTCGGGCCACCCCGCTGTTTAATTGGCTTCCGCATGTTGATTGCAGAAACATCTGTAGCTTGACCACGGTCTAGTTTTCACAGCAATTCTAGGCCTAGTCGGTTCAATAATATCAGCCAAAGCATCTTCAAAATTAACTTTTTAAGTTGTTTTTAACTTTATAATTAATAATAATAATAAAAGGAAATCCAACTAAAACATTACAGGATAAATTTCTCTTACCATTGTAAACTTTATATAAATTTTCATATTTGCAAAATCCGCAAACAGTTTGTTCATTGTGTCTAAAGATATGGCAGAACGAGATACAGCAAACGCGGTGAGATACGTGATACATTACTTCGGAGATTACAGCTAATAGTATGATAGCCTTATCTTTAGCCTCTACAATTCACGCAATTTAGTCAGAACAGCACTGTGGTAGCTCGGTTTAAACTGCTGAAAATCTCCTAAATGTGCATGCGTAGGCTGGGTTAGAAAAAATCTCGGGCAGTCTGTTAGTTTGCTTTTACGGAATGCTCTACGAAGTGAAGATGAAATAATTGGATGTTAAACATTTATGCCTTTATCGTCCGGCTTTATCGTTAGTTTTGATGGCCAAGCCTAAGCCTAATGTCATATCCGTTTTATTGGAACATCATCATGAGATCAATAATAATCACTTTAATCTTCAACCTTTTTATGTCAAAGTATAAGCGCTGTAACTAACTAATTTAACGTGACCTTGACTAGATTTCTCATTATCTTGCATCGGATACTAGTGATCGTCAGAACATACTTTTTATTTTAAAAATATCACTTCTATGTTTTTAATTTACATTGGGGTAATTTTTTAAGATTTTTAATATCTGTATTATAACTTTATTTTGCAATTGTATTTATTTTATTTTATTTGAATTTGATTTGTATCTTCAGAACATACAAATATAAAAATGATTCATTCATGTTTTGGATAACCACTGTCACCCCAAGTCTCTTCTTATCTTAATATACTTGTGACTCGACCTAAATCTAATTCATGTTTGTTATTCTCATTAAAGAACACACACTTAAGGTAAGCAATATTAAAAGTTTTGACCTATGTATTTAAGTTATCATGATATGATTTAATAATCATATTATTAGATACCTCGTGTTCATATCTGACAGAGCATATGACATCGTCCTGCTTTTTTTTTGTCACAGCATCACTTACATGATATTTGACCTCATGTCATGAATTTATTTCATCCCATGTTCATTCATTCCTTCTTTCTCAACTGGGAAGAGGAATGAAAAAGATTACAGACCTCATGTTAACAATAAAACATTCATGACTTTTTTTAGCTTAAGTTATCAAATCATAAATTTAATACTTTAAAAACTGTGAGGAAGTGGACATGTGTGATTTTGTATTATAATGTGTGTTAAAATAATATTTTAAATTTAAAACTATCACAAGGAAGTTAGTTCAGGGTCTGAACCCATGAATCTCAAGTTATATAACTGGTACCACTCTATTTGATCAGTAAGTTTGCAGTTGAATTTATCCTTCCCCTTATACAAAATGTTTAGTATATACACATTAGCTTTCAAGGCAGTTCCAAAGTTTGAAGAACTTTAGTCATAAGAACATTGCCGAGCAAAACTTATTACGATGGACACGAGGGAGTTGTATTCGTTCACTTAGTGTTGTTTGCTGATGATTCACTGTCGATGGAGATTAGGTATTTTTTCAGCTACTGTTCCGTAGGCAAATACAGATTGCAGAAGTCTGTCGTAACTTGAACCTACGCAATGTCTAGAATTCCTTTAATGTTTATTGAAGGAGAAATTTGACTGGAATATTAACTGGAAGTATGTCCACATTCCATTGGATTGAATACCGATAATTGAATAGTGTACTTCACTAATTATGTAGGCGGTAAAAATAGAGAGAATTTACAATTAACTCTAAAGTGCTCTGCCAGTAGCACATTTGATTTATTATGGAAGACATTTATAATGTCATTTATTATTATTCATTACTGGTATTGTAATTGTTACTGAAAAAAATAGATATTTAAAAAATAGTCAATTTAAAGTTCTGTTTTGTAGAAATGCCAAATTTACTTGCTTCAATTAATATGTAAAACAAATTAAAAATTTAATTCAATTAAATAAAAATTATTTACCCATATTAACTGAATTACAAAGCTAATAAATGATTGGTCAAGTTTGTGATTTGTATATGCTTATTCAACAAAAGTACCATTGCAATTAACAATAAAATAATGCAACTGAATTAAAGATTACACTTATTATCAAGATTTCTAAAATCATAATATAATTAAAGATCATTACCTACAAGTAAAATATCAAAATACATTCAAACTATTACTAAAAAATACATATAAATTGTTACTATAATATATTTTATTAAAATTATTTTAAAATAGTTCACAATTTAATATTTAACGTAACATATAATTATTATGTATGTTATTTTTTATTTTATATAGGCTTGTAGCAAAAATATACTTTAATAATATTGAGTGAAGGTTTGCATGGTTTGATTGAAGCAACTTAATCGAGACATTCTCAACAAAACAACAGTTCTTTTCAGAATCATCTACGCGGTGTACCGCAAGCATTTAATATAATAATAATAATAATAATAATGTTTTACTTATATTGCACAAAATGCCGGGGGCTTCAAAGTGCTTGACATAAAGGCAGTGTTTCCACAGCGCTAATTTACCCAATAAATTATCGGAAAGCAGCCATTTTGTTACTTTTTTACAGCTTATAACCCAAATAAACATGCATGCAAACACTGAACTTCTTCCTTTTTATAATGAAGGTAAGCAATAAAAATATAAATAGGAAAAAGCAAATTTGTAAAAAAACTTCAGAGGGTCAACATCCATCACCATTCTTGCACAATCCTGGCCTTTGCCTAGATAACTCAAACAAATGAACTGGATAAACATTTTTCCTACCATAGGTTAACAGGGAAACGGATGAAAGACAAATTGACATATTCCAAAGTAAATGCCTGAGATGAATTTTAAAAATAAGATGGGAAGATAAAATAACAAATGGAGAATTAATGGCAAAAACAGAGATGCGATCAGTGAGTTATGAAGTCAGAAACAGAAAATGGAAATGGATTGGTCATATTTTAAGACAGGACCATGGAAATGACTGCAACATTGCTATGACATGGGCATCCAAAGGAAAGAGAAAGAGAGGAAGGCCTAAGACAACATGGCGGCGGACAACAGAAAAGGAAGAAATAAAGTAGGATGGACATCGTGGGGAAGAGCAAAAGCTGCGGCAGCTGATAGGAGCAGATGCAGGGGCTTAGTTCCCCCCCTTGACCACACCCGGGCCCTTTGGCAGGCCCCCTGGACCCCACGCCCAGAACCCCCCCTTGAAGCATGCTGGCTACGGGCCTGAGATTGAGGCATTCTATTGAGGCCTTATGCGCCACTTGGTGCGAAGCAGAGAGGTAAGGTAAGGTAAGGCGAACAGGTGCTCAGAAACGGCGATCGAGACAGTGGCCACCTAGAGATAAATGCAAGCCTGACCAAGGGGAAAAAATAATAAAATTGATTAAAGAGTACCATATATACTGCATGTTGATTAAAGATTAATCTAAAAAAACTAAACAAATAAAAGTATAAGTATAGTTAGCTTAAATTTGAAAATGTGAACAAGAAAATATATTCTCAACCTTTAATAGACGTATAAATAATACCGTTC